GCCATCTGCAGTTCAGACCCTTGGAAAACACAATGTCATCTCGACATTAAGTTTGATAATGAGGCTTATCACTGCATCTCTATAACTTTTTAAATGTCCACATAATACTTGGTTATTGATAAAATGACACACCAGGATCCATTGAACCTTAGTTAAAATTTCTAGAAGCAACATGTTAATAGCATTTGGTGAACTTCACATAACTGCATGTTTTTCTCAGGCTTATTTCTCATTTTCTCACTCCTGTTTGTTTCCTAGTTCTGGCTGGGAGGAAGTGTCAAAATACTGCAGAAGAGGCTATTTGTACAGTATTTATGAGCCAACTGAAAGGAGGAAGCACCTGAAGTCTCATGAGAACTTACTTTTGTGAGCTTAGCAGTGCACAGTGGAGAGGTCCTGATAATTAATGCAGTACATTTGCAGAGATGGGAGTTGTGTCCATTCTGAGTCTTGTATATCCTTAGTTGTAACAGTTTTGATTGGTTAAATTTGGGGGCTATCGTGAATTTGTTAAGAGTTTAGTTCATGTCCTCTCTAGAATAAAAAATCAATAAATGAACAAATTTGTGTTTACAGACACAATACCATTAAATGTAGGTACTAAGCAAGGAGTGTTCTGAAGCAGGAATGGGTTTTAGGTGGTTGGATTCGAGGCTTCCTGTTAGTAAATACATCTCTGGGACTAGAGGATATCTTTGTGCGGTAGTGTTTATACTGTACCAGATGAAACATTTAAAAGTTGGATGTTAATAAAGCAGCCCCCAAAGTAGCTAATGGACATTCTGGCCCTGGCCACAATAGTAGGAGCCATAGCTGCCACAGAGGCTGTACTGTTTCCTTGCCTGTTTTCTATCTCAGTTTGGCAGTTTAAAAAAGTATTGTACAATAAATACTCCTGGGACTTCCACACTATTGCTGAAAAACCTAAACTGCATTTAGTTTGTTTATAAGAAGTCCTGGGGCCCTGCTCTGCAGAGCAAAGGTCATGGAAACACATGTTTATGGCTTCACAAATGCGCTATACTCCTTGAATGGAGAAGTTTATTTGATTTAATCAGCATCCACAGGGATCCTGTAATTGCATAATAAGTAATTTATTATGGAAGTAAAAGTATTTTTCTAACTGTAGCCTATGTAGCATGGGTTTGTAGCTTTAGACTAATCCACATAGTAAAAAGAGCTTTGCAAAACAGTCTGACTGTAGTAATGGTGTTCTGGGATGAGCGCGTATGTAGGTGGCTATTTAATCGTCAGAAAGTGTTAAAACAACAGGCAAATTATCACCACGTTGGATGTAAAAGCTGTTCACTCTTTGCTTTTCTTCAGTGCTCAGTATGGGAAACTGGAAGGCCATCCCAGATAATCCAGTTGGCAGGCAGTGAATAAGAGAGTGGGGGAATCCAAAGTTTGTCATCTTTTTGACATACACTGGAACATGGCATTTCAGCTACTTCAGGAAAGGAACATGGCCTTTCAGCTACTTGACTTCACCTTGGATACTGAATTACAAACAGATACATTTGTATACAAAAAACCCCCATCAAACCTATAGTTGTTTAGTTGTTGTAGTCTTTTCACTGAAATAACCATTGACTGGGTCATGAATGACACCACTGGGAGGTAAACAGAATAAGGTTAAGGACTGAGGTATTATCCTTTAAAGTACTTGCAGATAGGGAAGACAGTGATGCCAAAGCTAACCTACCCATTCCAGGCTGGTGCAAAGCCCTGGTCTCTGAAAACAGGCAGTCTTTGCACAGCTGTATCACTGGTAATTCAGGCTATGCTGAAAAGGTGCAAGATGGTATGTGTCTGATAAGGCTTCTAGGACTTCAGATTATGGTTGTTGTTGATGATCAAGTTCTCCCATTTGCTAGCTTGTCTTAAACTGAGGAAAGTGGCTGAAGAACCCTGCCTCCAAACAGACATTTATACCTTTGGAATGAAAACTTGTGAAAACTTTATTATCTGCTGAGGTTCAGAACACTTAAGTTTTCTTTCCAACAGCAAACGACCTCAGTAACATGAGAAGTAGGTTTTTCTGCATTTCCTGTGAGTGTTTGTGAGGTCTAAACTTCTTTGCAGAACTTGGAATCCATATTTTCATATCTAAATAAAAATGGAAATAAAAGGAGTTAGCTTCTCTGGTAACTCATTACCTTGCAAGTTTTTAGCTATGCTTCAAGTGTGGGAGCTTCAATCCATGGAAATTTTTGACCATCATCTCCTTCTCAGCTGTATCCTGGTATGAAATACCCTCTCCTAGTGCTTCTACTTGGGGATGCTGTGTCATACGTGTCAGTGCTAAACTCTTAAGACAAAATGTAGCCTAAGGGTCCTTCAGATCATTGAAACTTCAGTGATTAGACTGGCCAAGTTAAAAAATTATAGTCCTGGTTATTGTGACAGGAAAATCCAAAGGCCCATTTTGAGGATGTCAAGGTGTGTGAAATTGATGTTTGGCACCTGAGGTGAGGGAGGCAGGTAGAGAGACTGTAAAGGATACCAAGTTCCATCTTTCACTGGGCTGTTTCTATGTGCTTTTCTGACTTCTGTGTCCTCCTTTTTGTATTGTTGTTCGAAGGTATTGTATATTTTCCTTCAATTCATACTTTAAATTTTTTAATTTCTGTTAATTTCTCCCTCAAGAACATTTTCTACTGCATGGATAACATTTCATTATTTTATTTTGTGACTTTTCAGACTTTTCTGTTACTGCATATGTATAATTCAGTGCTATCTCAGCAAGTTAGACAGAGCTCCAATTCAGCATAAGCTGTAATACATGTATGAATCCTGTCTTCATGATCAATGTGGATTTGTATTATTCATAGAGATATGAGTCCTGACAGTCTCCTGTCAAATAACTTATTTGTTTTGAAAATTTTCCTGTACGTTTTTGTCAGTAATTCCACATTTTAATGTATATTGTCTTCAGCAAATTGAAAGCACTAGCTGAAGAAATAAGGATCTCCTTCACACAGACCCATGTATAGTAGGTGTGCTATTTCATGACCTGTAAATGTCCAGCAGTCTCACTCATTCTCTGTTGTTCAGGGTACGATCACTATTGAAGGTTTCACTGTTCACTAATCATACTAAGCTTAAGGCACAGAGCACTAAAGCCAGTCTAGGAAGAGCAGGGTTGGGCCTAAAAGGACTAGATGAGGAGCTGCTTCATCTAGTAATTACAGCACAAGCAGAAATGGTCATAACTTTTGCCGTTTATATAGCTTTCTCACTGAAACAGCTGTGACAGAAGAGTGTGCGTAATGTATTGTTGAGTCTACTGTCAGCATTGTTTCTGAATATTTAAGTAGCTCCTGTTTAGATAGGAGCTCAGATAGGAGCAGCAGTGATGAACAGAATGCCTCTTTGTGCTGCATGGCTTGAACTGTGATGACTGCATGTTTGGGCTGCCATCTCCTTTCCATTATTTTGCAGAAAGACCTAACAATTCATATGCTGAGAGCTGTATAAGTGAATGGTGACAATAACAAAACAATTGAAATGACATTTATAATGAGTATAGCTAGTGAAATAGATGGATATGTCTAAGAGAAAGGTAGATTTCCCAGATCAGCCCTACTGTATTTAATCTGTATTTCATTGTCTGTAAAACAGATACACTGGAGAATAGACAGGCTTGTTCTAGGCATTCACAACATTGTTAATGCTTCAAAATAAGAGGAGAAAGTTGGCACCAGGCTCAGAGGTGAAATGAAGGAGTCCACAGGGGATTTTGTTCCTTTGGGAATCCACATAACAAAGTGGTACTGAAGATTCTGGTTAAGTAGCCCGAGAGTTCAGCTGTTCCTACTGCAGTCTTATCTGTTGATGTGGAAAATTTTGCTGCCAAATGTCACCAATAAATACAAAAGTGCCATTCTGGTAAAAAATACCAATATACCAATAGTCTCTCTTTCTTACTTTCACATGCAGAGATACTGCTTGGCCAGAACTGACATTAGCTAATACAAGTTCAGATTAGTGCCAAAGAAGCTATTCTGTATTACACCAAGTGAGAACCTAGCTCAAAACTATTATTTTGTTTTTTTTTTAATATGCCCTTACTTGTCTGTGAATGACTAATTTTTCCATAAATTGTATCTTTGGGTGGGCCTCTTGCTAATCCTGCAGGTTCTCACCATGGGTTGATGATTTAGTCTGCATCACTCAATAGCTGTGTATGTCTTCTGGTCTCCAAGATACTATGGAGCCTTGATGGTGAAGGCCACTGCCAAATCCTAACAAACCACTCAAGTATGAGGGGCCTTTACACGTTTCCTTCTTTTCCCTTTTCCATTGTGTAGTTCTAAGCCACTGGTCTCATTTCTCTTGCTAAATTGTTGCAGATCACTCAAGCTTTCGCTACTTCTCTCTTGCTCACTTTTTCTCCTTTTCTTTCACCATCAGCTAATCTCACCATTTCTCATTCTTTACCCGAGCCTCTGCTTAGTGTATTTTTTTCTCTCCCAAATTGCCCTTCAGTCACCAATGAACTATCTATCCATTTATTTCAGTCCTTGCTGCCATGACTCAGATCACTGCTACTTGCTCAATTTTAGGGTTTGCATTCGAAGTCTGAGATAGGGTTTATGGGGAAGGGTTTGAAAAGTGAGATTTGTTGAGGAACATGAACCTGGAAGGCACTTGTGTTTAGTGACTGGATCTTATACCTGAAGCTGTTAAGGCAAAGAGGAATTTAGCAGATAATAGGTAGCAAGATGGAAAGAATGCTGAGGAAACCAAATTTCATATAAAAATGAACAAGCAGTCTATTGTAGGAGGATTGCAGCCTTTCTCAGAGACAGCCCTTATTCTGAAATGGGAGCCATCAATGTACAGCTCTAGATTTAGTACACCTTCTTTAACTCTTGTTACTTGCACATAGTAAAAAATTACAATAATTTATTGCTAAATAATATATCAATGGTTTTTAATTCAAAAAAATCTCTCTCTTTTGCATTCTCTTTTTCTTCCCCCCCCTCCTCCTTTAGGCTGTAAGAGAAAAGTTAGAGCCAGATGATGCTTTGATGTATGAAGAAGATCTGGATGATGAAGACTGTGGTGAAGCAGAATTTGAGGAAACCATGAAATTAAAAATGCTGCGTAGAATTGCTTTCATAGCATCCAAACTGAGGGAGTTTATTGGCCACATGATCATCACCACTGGAAAAGTTGTTGTTACAATTTTACTTGGTTCAGCAGGTTGGTGCAATTGAAAAATTTCCTCCAGACCTCATTAGATTATGCATTTAACAAATCAGTTTTCAGCACTCTGGCACCTGCGGGAGTAACAATGGAAATCTTTAAGGGAAAATAAATTGCTGCTGATTTTATTTAAATTAAAATTTTGGCAGGCATTGGAATATGCTGAGTTGTTTAATATTTTTTACAAATACTTTGTGGCCCTATCATGCTGTATACGACTTTCACAGCTGCTGTTATAGCGAAATGGTGAATGGTCACATATTGTAAGTGACCATATATTTATATACTGTAATGTGAATTCTGACACTATCTGATGTAAAAAGGAACTATATTTACATAGCTCTAAAAAACAAAAAGGAAAATAGAAAAATAGGTTGACTGTGTAGTGTGTGAAAAGAGTGATAAGCAGGTAAGCAGACTTCATGCTGTTTTCTGATGTGGTTAGCAAAAGTATCTGTTTTCATATGATATAGCCAACCTTTTTATAAGATGTTTGATTTAGTACCACATAGTCAGCTACAGCCAGAATGGAAGTGTACAAAATCACTGTAGGTTGTAATTAATGAATTCATGATTGGAGCAATAATTGTAAATTAGCATTTATCTGTCTAATCACATGTTTTAATGGAGTCATTACATATAAAGTATATGTACAATGGTATATACTTAATGTGTAAGAATACTAGTATATAAAGTATAAAACAATAGTTAAAAAAGTGATATTAAATGACAAGGACTGGTCAGATGTGGCCTTTTATTAAGACAGGTGAGATTATCTGACAACCTTACATGTAGCCAAATGAAAGGTAACAAATCTACAAAGGGATGAAAATAGGTTATGTGGATAACCACGGGGCTGAAGATCAGGGAAGAGAGATGCCATTAAAAGCATTATGAAAAGCCTGTTGCCATTCTGAAGTTGCATGGGTGAACATCACCTAGGGAGGATGAAGCAGAAGGATCACACAGCAGTAGACAAGGGCAGCTTCTTCTGAGAGCTAATGGGCAGTTTGTCTGTGGAACTCCAACACATGCTGAGAGCCAGGAGGTATTCAGAGCAGAGTTACAAAAAGGACTTGAGGTCTGGGAAGGCTGTATTCCTGAGGGAGACCATGAGCTTAATTAGTTAAATACTTCCTTACTTACTGTGCCAAGAAGGAAGATGATGAAGGGTGATTTGACTGCAGCCTTAAACTACTGACAAAGTACAAAGTGCCTCAATTTTTTTAACAGACTTCTCATCTAATAGGAGTTATGAGCCAATAGTTAAGTGATAAACCCCTGCAACTTCAGACCAGAAATACATTTTGACTTTTTCACAACCAGAGTAATCTGCCATAATAAACAATTTATATATGGATATAGTGGATTCTTCTCCTGAAGTGCTTCAATAAAGACAAAAGTATCTTTTTGAAAAAAGAAAGGAAGTAGTTACAGGCTTGAGGCAGAAATTTCTTTCCAGCAGAAGTCTTACAGCCACCATCATGAAGAGAGTCAGAATAATTGTCCCTGCTGTCCTGTCATGTTTTAAATCTGTGAGCCTATGGTAATGCCAACACATTACATGCTGAAGCAGAGACAGAACACCCTAGACTAAAGACTTGGTTTAAAGTACAGTGGGAAATATGTGATGGTGAAGCTCAGGTGAAATTACTGTGGATGAATCCTTACAGTGCCTGGACTAATCCCAGCTGGGGACTGACATTCAGGGCGCTGTCCCCAGAAAGCATGGCAACCTAGCACCTGGCAAGGTGCAAGTCCTTCTGACGGAGTGGCTGGCCCAGCTGTGGGGTCAGTGGGCATATCAGAGCCACAGACCACCAGGAGCCTGCAGGTCTGGCTTGAGGAAGGTGGCTCCTAAATATACACTAGTAAAAAACTTAAATTGAGGCAGGCATCCCTATTAGCTTCAGTGCTGTTACTGTAGAGACTCCGCTGGGCTGCTGTGCTTGGATGTAAGCTCTCTTGTCATTTTGTCATGGTTGCCACTCTTAGACAAGTGTGTCTTTCCTGCTTCCTCACTGATTTTTGTAGGCTACCCACTGAGCATCGGGTCTGCTTCACCAGTCACGTAGTTTCACAAGTGAAATACTCCACTTCATGTGAAGAGCAAAACCAGTATACGTATGTAAGACAGCAGAGTCTTTGCCGTATGTAAATTACAAATTTCTGAGAGTTAAAAAAGCAAACATTTGCTGACCGTTCTCTGGATTTTATGTAGGTCTCTTGTCAGTATATACATCAGGATTTTTTTAGTATTAGTAACTCAAGATATCTCAAGATTTATATGAGAGGTTTTTTCACTGTTCCTTCCTGCCATTTTAGCATCTCATACTTCAATTTCATTTTGAAGTTTTATACGCCAGTGCTCTCAGGCACTGCTGAGTGGCCTTGCAGCCGTCTTTGTTTTCTCCATGCTTTGAGAGACATCTTTACAAAAGAAGATTTCATCTCAAAGGAAGTTCTGGAGAGTAGTTGTGTACTAAGTGTTAAGGTATAGCATAAGTGCATTGAATGAAAAAAAGAGGAGATCCTTTTCTTCTAGTTTCAAAGCTAATAGCAGTCTTAAGAGTTAATTGTAATAATTGCCATAGATGCTCATTGGACTAAATTGTTTTATATATGTGTCAGATTTAACGTTTAACAAATGCAGATATTTCCCACACTTTTCCAACCCTCCATATTTTTATTTTTACAGGAATGATGGTGCCATCTTTGACCTCAGCTGTGTATTTCTTTGTATTTTTGGGCCTGTGCACATGGTGGTCCTGTTGCCAAGCATTTGATCCGCTGATATTCAGCTGTCTGTGTGTATTAATGGCCATATTCAGTGCGGGGCACTTGATTGGACTTTACCTGTACCAGCTACAGTTCTTTCAGGAGGTTGTTCCACCAAAAGATTTCTATGCCAGGTGAGAGAAATTCCTTTCCTGTTTAGTTGTGGGCACATGATACAGTGCTATGTCATCACATGTTGATGCAAATGATCTTGCACATGATGCTCTGACAAATTTTATGCATAAATTCATGTTCAGTTTTAGAGAGTTGAAGCATTTCTGACTGAATGGTTTTGAATGATAGAGTGGTGGAAATCTCACTTGGGCTACTGTATGCAGAGAGTTGGGACAGTTCAGGAGTGAAACGGATTTTGGTTTTGGTCAGAGTGAAACTCAGATGTGAGTGAGACTACTTTGACTAAGACAGGAGATAAAGGAAGTAGGTGGTGGTATTGACACAAGGGCAGTGTACACGTGCACATTTTTTGGCAGACAAAAGGAAATGCTCCTAGGTCATAGTGTTTTAACTGGGGAAAAATGCATGTGTGGTGCCATCATTATGTGCAGATATTGAGGGCTGCTGGTATACTTCACATGGTGTACATTACATTAGACTGTTAATATAAAATTTCTTTCTGGTCCTGCAGAATATGCCAGTCTTAGGTTCATACTAATAGCTATATTGCTTAAGTCGAAAAGCAGCATTTCTAGTTAGTGCTGCAGTAAATATTGATTGGATGTGATTTCACTGACTCTAATTTTTTTCATACTGTAATCTAAAATATGATGAAATAATGGATGTATTTTTCTCATTACTACTTTTTCTTTCTGCTGAATTATGATTGAAAATTGGTTTTTATGGTATATAGTTTTAGTCCTGTAGTAATCCCTATGTTAAATTAATTGTAAACCTGAACTTTATTTCAATAAACCTGTTGTTTCTTTTAAGTATTATAAGCTGAAGGTGAAAGGATATTAGATGTACTGTGGAGAGTCAATTCACGATTTACATTTCAGTGCACCATTGAAAGCGGTAAAAAATTACCTGCCTGGTTACAGTAACCGTCATTTTAATACTTATTTTGACATTTTATTTAAAATACAGGCTAATAGATGTGTGTTTTGCTATGTTGGAATTGCTGACTTGGAGCCTCAATGGGAGAGCATAACATTACCTATAAAATCGGGAAAGGATCTGGTTAGTTTAGGTTCTTTTGTGCCACCTACAGGTCAGTGTGGGAGAATGGCTGATTTCTGGTGCCGAGTAACTAAAACGCTCGCAAGTTACCTAAAGTCATTATGTTGCTTTCTCCTTGTATTATGAAAGAAAACATGGTTTCAGAAATCTGAACTATTTAGCTATGGGATATAGTCTCACAGGTTTTTATCACCTTTTTATCATCAGATAGCAATAACGTTTTCTCAAGGAGAGGAAGTACGTGTTTCGTGCCATTTTGCTGGAATATGTGAAACTCCCTTTATATGCGTCATTTGCAAAAGTCCCTTTTGTCTTTTTAACATTTTCTTATTTAAAATTATTTTATTTACTTTAATTTCCACTTAATTTAGTCTCAACCTTATTTTCTCTATTTAATTATTTTTTTCTAGTAGTGTAGTGCTACATTGTATGATAAAATCTCATTCAGTACAAATATGCCACTTTACCTTAGTCACTAATTTTTGAAATTAAAAAATCCAATTGCAAGTAATTTTCCCTTGCTTCACTGAAGAAAGAAAAGGCACCTTCAGTTTGGATTAAAAAAAAAAAAAGGTCAATGTGTTGGACTTTGGAGTATGTATTGGCCTTTTTGTAAGCAGAAGATGTTATCTTCTGGCAGATTTTCTCCTGAATTGGTACTGTTGAGTACTATGCCTTTTACACAAGACAACATGTGAGGGACTAGCCTTCTAAATTACATAGGAAATTATGTTTGAATACCCAAAACACAAACGACAACAGAAGGCATAGTAAATACATCTTCCTTGTTTCTTTAATCACAATTCTTTCTGCTGTGGATTTACTTTTATCTGCTTTCAAGGAGACATATTTGAAGAACATCAAGACAGGTTTTATCAGTGCTTGGAAATGCAAATTTGGGTGTGAGGAAAAGCCACTAATGATTTTTATTCATTAGAGTAGGACTGGTGTATAAGCAGTGGCTAGAGGAGAAGAATGAGACACATGTACTAGAATGATGCAGAAAAAAATATGTTAGTATTTTTCATCCTAGAAGAAATTTGATACCTTGCTATGTTATGTACCATCTTGGTTTGAAGCAGAGCTACATATGCAGAGTTCTCATTAATAATACCAGCGGATGGCTTGCTTGGGTAAAATATATGCTGAGAAATAAATCTGATTCCCTAAATACTCCTCTTATTCTCATCCAGAATATGCTGTTTAATGTCTTTTTGCAAGAAGAGAGCATCAGATTGTTCCCATACTTAGTTGTATGAACTTTCCTTACTTACTTGTAATAAACCCACTGTATGAAGAAAACATGCAGCAAGTACGTGTATTTGCATGTGTTAGCTTTAGTGCTATTACAAACTGACCTTTTTCCCCTAAATGAAGGGAAGTTGAAACATGAGCTGTAAAGTTTTGAGGACTCTATCCCTAGGTTAAGCTCTTCTGAGATGTAAGGGCAGATGTGGAAACTCTCCTGTTGGGCCGCTGGTGGATATTATTTCTCTCTGCAGAGGGTAAAGCTGGTGTTTTAAAAAGCTGTTAATGTTGGGCCTTCTGGGTTTGACTTCTGAAGTTGACAAGAAATGTACAGTTTGTTTCTGATCCATAAAAAGTATGTTGTCTGAAATCAATTTTCAGACTACATGAAGTTAAGCTATACCCAAACAAGCTGTAAAGTTCTCAAGTTAATCTTTCAGCAAATCTCTCAGCTAAGATTTGCATCATCCTTGTAATGCTCCTTCCTTTTAAGATCTCTTCAACTCAAAATTCAGTATTTCTCCCCCCCCCCCCAAAAAAAAGGATACTGTGATAACATAGCCCTGTGCGTATGCCATAGTGCTGTTAGCAAATATGAAGGCATCAATCTTCTACAAAGTTTCAGATGTACTGTTGTGGCTTTCTGGTTCTGTGAGGTGCAGATAGAGGTGGCATAAACACAAACACACACTGAAATGCTACCCAGTGCACACTAGGATCTGCAGGTTAAAAAATGTATAGGGTACTGATAAGTCTGAGGTATAGCTGATGTTGCCAGGGGTGGGCACGCTAGCAGCAGAGCTTCATGAAGCTGCCTCTGCCACTGACAGCTTTTCTTCTCTAGACCAACCCACTGTGGAGAAGTGGGCATCAGTCTTTCAAGGCAGTGCTCTAACTGTCTTGGGAAGAGTGGTCCTAAATGGCTCAGGAGGACTGGTGTAAGTAAGGCTGAATTTACCCTTCAGTTAGGACTTACCTAGTTGCATAAATTAACACTGGTTAGGGTTCAGCTGGTCTCTTGTCAAATAAAATGTCCACACTCATTTATAACATCATTTAAAATAGGGATCTTCTGTGTTAGCTTGCTGCCATATTGCAAAATTGGCGATTTATCAATCAAAGGGAAAACAATAACAAGAAGTATCCATTTAAAACAAAATTTGGAAGCTATCATATTTCTGCCAGACAATTCTTTTCACCTGAGTTAATAAAAAAAGTCCATGAGCTAAAATGATTTTAGAAATATTGTACATTCTGTCACAGCCTGAAAAAAAATATGCAATAATAGGTTTGCCATTTTTCAGATTGCTGCCTCCTTTCTTCCTGATGGTGTTTATTTTGGCAAAAGGATGTAATTGGGGCAATGATAAGGCCTTGCCAAAATGAAGAAATAGGATCAGTGCAGTGGTATGAAGTTTATCCTGAGTCATTAAAGTTGTTCCTGTCCAAAACTATGCTTATAAGCATATTAATTTAAAGATCCAGTAGTCGGATGTAAATTAAAATCTATGTGCTTTCTTAAGAGTTCTGGGTCTTTCTCATATAGCTTGTACTTTGCAGGCAAGAAATGTTCAAAATAATTTAAATATGAATTGTTCATCTGTAGGAAGGCATCACCCTCATAAAGTGAGGCAAACCTAGGAGTCCAGGGAGTGTCATACACTTCAAAGCGGGATGTTATTTCACATCTTTAAGTGAATGGGAATTTGGAATTACACAAGTGATTGCTTTGTTGCAATCTGAGTGGGGAAGTCTAATCTAAGGCTGTCTTTTCCATAGGAAATTTTCATCTGAAAAATGCCTATAAATCTCCTTAAGCCAGACTTTCTAAATAGGTTGTACAGTGATTAGTAACAAACTTGCTTAAATTACTTTTTTAATTTTGGAGGGAGTGTTATATTGATATTTGCTGTAGATGGTAGCGTCAGAATATTCAGTTTGTTTTCAGATTTATTTAAGGTGAGTCCAGCCCTAAGTCATCCATTTGAACTTCCCTGGAAGCTTTGATCTGGATTTAGAATTTATAGACCAAATGTTCAGTTTATCCAGGGTAATAAATGCTTAAGCACAGTTTCAAAACTATTCCTGGAGTTGTAAGATCAGGCTGGGGCATCCAACTGTCATTTTTTTCTCGCTAAATTAAAGGCTAAGTGTGCTAATAAAATCTCAGCAGGAGAGCAGATACTGCCAAAGCAGCAAGCTGTAGCTGATCAGTTATCTTGGTGGTGGTGTCTTGCCTCTCTGCAGGGCAAGGCACTGATCTCCTGCTGCTTTTGTAGCTCCACTGGAGACAAGAGCTTGCCAACCTGTTCTACCGGAGCTGCAGCCAGTTAGTCCTTGCTGTGGAACAACTTTGGCACCTGTCTCAAAGGTGTCTCACCTCTGAGAGGCAAAATATTACATCTGTATGGATTTCTGAGGGTTTTGGAGTTTCCTTGTAAGCTGGTCAAAAGCCAGTTAATTCTTAGAAGGCTTTAGCTTTCTTAGAACTTCAGTTTCATTATGGTTTAAAAACTATTTTGCAAAGCAAGTGACTGATTCTGTTAACTGCTTAGATTTGCAAGTTCAGACTCCCATTGACAAAAGGCAGTAATCATCCTTGCTGTTATTGTAAGCTCTTTCTAAACTTTGAGGTAGCCCAGGGCAGGTGGGCTCATCTGGGCTCTCTTTCCCAAAAAAGGTTGGAGGG